AGGCCTGTGGAGCAGGGACAATTTCCTTTCCTTTTTGTGAATGTCAAAATTTATCTCCCAAAGCATTGACTGAACTAAGGATACAGGGCCACATTTTATGTAAAATGAGATTTTGACCTTCTTCCCATTTCATGCAGGTTCCAGGAAACATTTTCATGATCATCTGATAAAGTTTGTACACCAGAACTGATGACATTTGGAGGAAGTCCAGAAACAACAGACCTTTACATCTTTTCTCATGTCAGCAAAGAGGAGAGGAACCCAGGGATAATCATTTCTGTTTTTTCAAAAAAATAAAAATAAATAAAATGGTAGGTTTTTTTTAAAGGAAGAATATGATTAATTTACCCTTTTCCATAATACTAGAAGCAGACTATTTGAGGTATAATTAATTAAGGTGAAATCAAGCTAAACATCTAACGTCATAAAATTGAGAAAAGTCATAAGAAGGAAGCTATTAATTAATGTTTCTAGGGTATTTGCTGAATAGTGCAATAACATGACTCTTAGACAGGGCAATTAACGAAACAGAATGAAATAGTCCTGTAGAATAAATACATGGGTTTGTAACGATTTTTAAAAAATTAATAGCAAAGAACACGTAAAACAAAGAACAAACATGACAGAACACAAGCTAGAGACACTATCAAGGCCCGCCTGGTGGGGATCAGAGCAGGACACCCCAACACTTCTGCACTCTTCTTACATCCACAGAAGGCCAACCGGTGGCCCTTCTTAGGGTCACTCAGACTCCCCAGAGGCTCATTTGCAAGGCCGGGCAGAGGAATTTTCCATGCATCTGGAGGATAAAATTGACCAGATTGGTTTCCACTTGGATGCCAAGCATGGCAAAAATCCTGTCGAGATGCCCAGTCAGCGGACTTAAACAGTTATATGGGAACAGTTTGATTCTGTTGAACCCGAGGGAATGGACATGTCCATCCAGCATGAAAACACCCGCCATCTGTGCATTAGTTTCACGCCCATCCTAGCTGGTTAAAGCCGTGCAGGAAGTATCATGTGGATGGATCCAAGCAATGGTGAATTCATCGTTGTTGGAGAGGTTGTTCCCGGCTCCTTTTAAAGAAGCCTCCTGAAGAAGCCATTGCTGGACTCTACTATTCTGTACATATTTTGCCCAGTCTCCTACCTTCCCTTTTTGAGAAGGTGGCAGTGTTGCAATTTCAGAGGATCCTGGAGGAAACGGATTATCTGGACCCTTTTCGGTCAGGGTTCAGAGCCAGATAGGCATTGGTGCACTCAGGGATGAGCTTTGGCAGGCATCAGGGGGCCTGTAAAGCCCTACATGGTCTGGGGCCAGGTTCCCTATAGAACCATCTCTGCCCCATTACATCAGCCTGGCCTACCTGACCAGGCAGGGAAGGCGTGCTCCACAACCTGTCAGCTAAAGAATTCTGACTGGCGGGGTCCAGAAAGAAAGCCTTCTCTGCCGCTCCCCTTGCCCATGGACCCTCTTCCCACAGAGGAGAGGCTGGCCCCCGTCTCCTGGCCCGGCAGAAGGGTGTGGAAATATGGCTCTGCGACCTTGTGTGGGGAGCGCAGAGGAGAGCGCGGTTGTGGGGATGGCTAACGCCTGGAAAAACCTCCCTTGCCTTTTAATTAACTTTAATAGTTATTTTTCATTTCTTGCTTTTTTTTAATTTTAAATTTTATATACTGTTTTCATGGTTTAATATTTTATTTTATTTATACCGCCCAGAGTTCCTCTGTGATGGAGATAGGTGCTTTAAAACCGTGTAATAAATAAAACAATAGTGTCTGGAAACCTCGAAGACAGCACTGGCTGTAAAAAATTAGGCGAGGTTGAAGGTAGTGAGAGAAGTTTTATATATTGATACTGTATAACCTCTCTAAATATATCAGGTAAATTTTTTTTTAAAGGAACTCCGCTGTTGGTGAATGGGAGCGCAAAGAAGAAACTTTATTATTTTAAAAGAAACGAAATGCTTCATTATAATAGCACTTTATCTCATTTGAAGCAAGGCCAAGCAGACAAAACCAAGAACTCCCAGAAACGGCCTGCTCATAAATCAAGTCCTTCAAAAGGCTCTCGAGTGGGAGGCCTGGAACATCTCGGCATCTTTAGATCGGCTGCGGCTGCGGTGGCCGCTCAGGGCTGATGCTCAGGCCCTCCGGGGCTTTTCCTGAGGAGCCTGAAGGTGGGTGGGCTGATAGAAAGAAATGCCCAGAGAACGGTGGGTGGTATCTTCTTCTCTGTCCTCGTTACCTCAGAACGGCAAAGTCATGGGGGAGGGGGGCTTGGAGTTTTCAGAGCTTTTGTTAAATGACATTCGTGGGATTGTGCAATGGGATGCCACGGGGTCTGCAAAGTATCTTTTGACTTCCCTTTAGGAATGGAAGAATCTACTGTTTGCAGATTGTACATCTATAGTGCAGTTTGCAAATCAAATGGTATGGCTCTTTTTTTAAAAAAATCAATTAGGACATAAATAATGCGAAAAATGCAGGCTTCTTGAAATTCATATTGAAATTTCAGTAGATCTGTAACTATGTGAAAAATGATAAATAATTTCTGAACAACTAATAGCTAAAGATGTATTTTTGAAGATATGGGAACACAAACAAAACACTTGTTTCCATTAGTGGACAGATTGTGCCCATCTGAATTTGAGTCATCTGATCCACATCTCAAGTCCTTCTTCACTGTCAACTCTCTAAATATAGTATTTAGAGATACTATATAGCTTCTTGATAGCTTCTCAGAAGTCAATGAAGAAGCCAGTAGGGAAGATTGCAAATTGGTTGGGTAAATCTCCCTCCCCCAGGCAACCCCCCCAGCCCCTCTGTGCTCACACCATTTGGGCCATTCACCACCCCACATATCTTTCTGAACATGTCCTGACCCAAACAGCACTTCTTGTGCACCCCGAGGTACTCTTCCTGACCTGTGCCGTACCCTCTGACCTGTGAGACTTACCTGCCTGCTGGCCTTGGACTTGCAACTTCCTGCCAGCTTCCCCACTGCTCGTGGGAAACTTGCAGGGAGAAAGTCAAAGTTGAAACTCGTCAGGGAACATCACAAGTTGTTTAGTTTGTCCCTCCCACATTTCCTGTCCTAGGCCTTCTGTGCTTATGTTACTCTAATCAGTTGCACACCCCTCCTTGACTTGCATTGCATTGCACCCCTGTACATCCTCCCTGAGCTGCACCCTCATGCACCCAACCTGTCCTGTGCTGCACCGCTAAATACCTCTGAAAGAATTGAGGAGTCTTTCCCTCAAAAGAATGTTTCTTGCAGACATTTTTCATTACCTAAACTAGGTAACATCAACAGACTAGCACTGATGTTACCTAAGAGCACCAAACGAGAACACCAAGGACCTCTCATTTCAACCCCGGGCTACAAATATCCTCCTTTATCTAAAAGTATTACCTAATAGGTTGTGTATTGTATAGTAGTTTGTGCTTATATTTTTCCCAAGGTACAGTAAGAAAGAGCAACAAAGATAATGCGGGGTATGATGAGGATTGAGAGAAATAGATATGTGTCACCTATCAAAGAGAAGGATTAGGGGAGACATGATAACTTTCTTCCAGTACTTGTGGGGCTCTCACAGAGAAGAGGGAATTGACTTATTCTTCAAAGCACTTGAGGGCAGGATAAGAAGTAATGAGAGGAAGTTTATTAAAGAGAGATCCGATTTAGAAGTAAGGAGAAATTAGCAGTGAGAACAATTAAGCAATGGAATATCTTACCTCCTGGAGTTGTGGGTGCTCCTTCACTAGAAGTTTATTAAGGTAAATTGTCAACTAAGCTTTTGCATCCCTGAAGGGATGTAACAGAATAACAGAAAACAGAGAAACAGAATTGAAAAGGACCTTGGAGTTCTTCCAGTTCAACCCCTGCACAGGAGACCCTGTACCATTCTGAACAAACAGCTGTCCAATCTTTTCTTAAAAATATCCAGTGATGGAGCATCCACAACTTCTGAAGGCAACTTCTGTTCCACTTGTTATTTGTTCTCACTGTTAGAAATTTCTCCTCAATTCTAGGTTGCTTCTCTCCTTGATTAGTTTCCATCCATTACTTCTTGTCGTGCCTTATGGTGCTTTGGAAAATAGGTTGATCCCCTCTTCGTTGTGGTAGCCCCTCAAATATTGGACAGTGCATTCATGTCACCTCTAGTTCTTCTCTTTACTAGATTAGACATAACCAGTTCCTGCAACTGTTCTTCATATATTTTAGCCTCCAGCCCCCTAACCATCTTTGTTGTTCTTTTTTGCATCTTTTTTATATTGTGGTGACCAAAACTGGATGCAGTATTCTAAGTGTGGTCTTGCTAAAGCTTTATAAAGTGGTACTAACACTTCATGTGATCTTGATTCTATCCCTCTGTTAGGGATAGCCTAGGATAGCTAGCCTAGGATAGCATTGGCCTTTTTGGCAGCTGCTGCACACGGCTGAGTCCTACTTAAGGGGTTGTCCACTGGGACTCCAAGATCCCTCTTACAGCTACTGTTATTAAGCCAAGCTTCACCTAATCTGTACCTGTACATTTGGTTTTTCTTGCCTAAGTGTAAAATCTTGCTTTCCTCTACATTGAATTTCATGGTGTTAGAATTTCATTTTGTTGTTGGTAAATTAAACTGCAGGCTAATAGAAACTTCTTATAGGGGACAGGAGGTTAATCCATCTGAATTTAGTAGGATTTTGTTCTCAGTTGACCTGAACAGGGCTATGGAGTAAATTTGAAAAAAAGTTCCTATCCTATGATAGGCATTTTTTAGACTAACTTGTGGAATAAACAAGTGTGGCATTAATATATCAATGTTACCTCTAACCCATGTTAATTGAGATATTTTAAAAAATTGCTCTATATTTAAATTTATTTAAATTATTTAAATATTTAAATTCATAAAATAAAATATTTATTAATTGGTTCAAAAGTCATGTTAAAACATTTTAAACCTTCTTCAGCCAACCAAGCAGCAGAAGTTAATTAAACAAAGAGTGGTAACTCCTGAATTGATATAAATTTAATGAAACCGGAATAGAATGTGGAATACTTGCCATGGCAGCAAGAATCACATAAGTAAGGACAAAACAAAACAAAACAAAACAAAACGCCCATCTGTTTGGCACCCAAAGCCTTGTTCTCTGTCCTGGAAGAGAGCTGCAGGTCAGTTCTTGCATCAAGCATGAGCTGCCTGGGGACAGATGCTTTTCTGAGCTGCCACCAATTCTCAAATGCTCTAAGGGGGAAGAAGTCCTGCAGACCATCTCCTTTCCACAGAATGCAGAGCTTCTTGTCTGGTTGCTTCACACCTCTCTGCTGGAATATAAAAGATCAATTAAATAAGGAATAAGCATCTAATCAAATAATTTTCATAAGTAATCATAACTTGCATAAATTAATTTCATAATTAACCATAATTTTCTTCATGGCTTCCATGCAGGACACTGCTTTAAGGTGAAAGAAGAATATCTGGCCTAGAATTGAACCAGAATGAAATTAGTCACATTTAATTGACATTTTTTGCAGTACCCCCCCCCCTTATTATCAACATATCAATTATGAAAATTGTTGCTTATAAATTGTACTCAATTGCCTTCCTTTACCTTTGTCCCTATGACATTATAAGGAGATAATTCATAATCCAGAAATTATGTTTATTACCTTATTTCTACATCATTACTCCTGTGGAATCATACCTATGAGCAATCCTGTAGGAAGTGGTGTCTCCAATTGAGACAAGGAAAGTCTTGCTATTTGTACCTAGGTTACCCGTTGTCTGCATATATTTATAGCTCAGGAGAGATGGAAATGCAGGTGTGAATTTATCCCACAAAGCCAGAGATTTGTGCTTTTTTAAAAAAATACATCAGACCTGCTGCCGTGGTTCATCCTGGAAAGTCAACGGTGCTGGAGGACTGCAAGGTGGAGGTCTTCATTGGAGACCCGGGGTCTGCGTGTTCCATCTGCCCTCCTAAACCAGATCTATTCAGCAAAGGACTTGATTCCTTATCCAATACTGAAATGAAGCCGAACTCTCCTTCCAGCAGTTTTCTCAGTCTTAGGTAGCCAAGTGTCATTGGTTAGCCCGGCCTATGGCAGATCATGGGAAATTATCTGCTTTAAGGAATCGCTGTTCTTTGACCTGTTCTGCCCAATGAATCTCCCCGGGCCATTGCTTTCCTAGGAAGGGTTATTTGCTGGAAGAGGCACCCTAAGTAGGAAAATACAGGACACAGTTCATTGAGAAAAGTTCCCGTGACATTTCCTCTTACAGGCTACTTACTCCTGACAACCCCTTTTGCCGTCTTTTGCCCCACCCCAACCCCAAACTTAGTCAGCAACTTTTTCTTTCACATATTATTAGAAAACATTCTCCATTGTTTTATTTATTGCTCCTTCTTACATTAAAAAGACCCTCATAAGAAAATGCTGCTGAGATGACTTGCTGCAAGTATTGGAAGCGGAACCCTAACATAGTTATTTGATTTTTGCTAACATTATGACTGAAGTCAGTTTTATGCAAAGCATATGCTAGAAACCCTATGCCGTGCCAGAAATGATCGGCATATATGCATTATTTCTGAACTCCATACATAAATGTTGCAATAACCTTTTCCCCATCTGCCTTTCTTCCTGTGATCTTTCTGTATATAAGATCACGGACTTAAAACATCTAGGAACTGGAGAGTTCCTTAGGCAATCAGGTCCTTAGCTGCTTAATACAGCAATGCAAATAATCTAGGACAGTAGCTTTGTTTTCCAGCTGCTTAGCACAGCCAATGAAGAGGAAGCCTCTCGGGGTCACTGATGCTACCTTCAAGCTGCCCTTTCTTGTCTGGTCCTTTTTGCCCCCTAATACTCCATTTTCCTCTCATTGCCACCCATTACTCTGAGTCCTGCGCTCTGGAATGAGAGATGTCTTAACCTTCTCCTCTATAAAACATCTTTTCCTTTATGACAAATCTTGTCAAGAATTTGAAGAGGCCCGCTCCCAGCCTTCTTTCCCCAAAGTTAACCATGCCTAATTCCTGATAAACAGCTTTATTCTTCCCTGAACCTGCTCCAGTTTCTCTGCATCCTTCTTAGTGTGTACCCAGAACTGCGAACAGCATTGAGTTGTGTTGTCATCCAACACAGCCCTTCAGAATAAAGAGGAGTGGAATTATTACTTGCCACGAAAGACGTTTGCCTGGGTGGCAGATGGGACAATAATTGCATCACGCTGCTTTCTCACATTCAGCTTACAAGCAACTAATATTCCAAGGGGATTTTTTTCCACAAAAAGAAAGTATCCACCACTAAGTCCTGCATATTTATCTATCTGCCTCCTAAGTGGAATATTTTTCATTTATCTCTACTAAATTTCATTTTCCCCCATTTTCCTCCTCTCTCCAATTTGATGAACACTCTGGAAAGAGCGCTTGTCATCAGACCTCTTGGGTAGATGAGAAATGATTTAACTCATAGCACACAGGGTTTCCTTCTGATATTTCCCCCTTTATTGGCTAAATAAGATAAAAAGTGTTTCTTCCAGAAATTCATGGTTTTTTAAAATCAAATGGCTTTTAAAGCTAAAACATATCACAGTCGTCTCTGCTGGGTTCTCTCCCACTTTCCCTTCTCTTTCTGACATAACCAGTAAAACAGTAAAATGAAGTTGGAAGTGTGATTTATTCACCATTATCATCTTCATTTGGATTTATTAGAGTTGCCCCACTCCAAAAGACTCTAGGGTCTTTCAACATAAAAAAATATTTTTTTTTTATTAAAAAGTTTTATCAAATATTACAACAATTTTTCCCCGTCCCTCCTCCCCACCTTCCCTCCTCCACCCACCACCCATGCCCCATCCCCCCTCTCCCTCCAACCCCCCTCCCCCCACCCCGGACTTCCCAGAGCAAAAGCAGGGTGTAACATTTAACAAACTTAAACTAAAATATGCTAACTTTCTGTAGGCTCTTAATTCCCTCTTGCTCTTTAACTCCCCTTTCAACTAACAAAACATAATTCAAAAAGACAAAGTTGATTTCATTCATAAGTTATTTGAAGTTTTTTAGTCCGATATTTGTTTTGAATATAGTCAATCTATCTTCTCTATTCCGATGTATATCTTTCATTTGAATGGTCCTTCAAATACGCTGAAATTTTGGCCATCTCTGCTAAATTCACTACTTTTAGTGTCCATTCTTCAATAGTAGGCAAGTCTTCCTTCTTCCAATACTGCGCCACCAAAAGTCTGGCTGCTGTTATTAAATTTAAAATCAACTTAGTCTTTATAACAGTACAATCTGTAATTATACCTAACAAGAAGAACTGCGGAGTAAATTTTATCTTCTTTTTGAGAATATTTTGAATAATCCACCATATTTTTATCCAAAATGCCTTAATTTTTTTACACGTCCACCATATATGATAATACGTGGCATCATCACATTCACATCTCCAACACTTGGGTTGCACACTTGGATACATACAGGCTAGCTTTTTAGGATCTAGATGCCATCTATAAAACATTTTATAAAAATTCTCTCTTAAATTTTGGGCTGGCGTAAACTTCACATTTCTAACCCATATTAGTCATATTTCTATGCCTCAGACACAGTCTAACTGCAAGAAAATTTGAACAACTTTATCCATCAGGCAGCATAAATACTCCCCATCACATCCCTGTAGAGCAGTGTTTCTCAACCTTGGAAGCTTGAAGATGGGTGGACCCATCTTCCCATCCCCCTCCCCCGGCTGCCCCACGAACTAGCCTTGCCCACCCCTGCTGCCCATCCCCTTTGCCAGCTGCTCTCGGGGCTCCCTCCAAAGAACACCTGGCAACGAGGCTGCCTGGAACCATTGAGCAGGAACCCTCCGTCCCTTGCCTGGCCCGAATCGCGCCTGGCCCAGCGCTACCACGGGTCCCAAGGTCAGAAAGACCAGCCGCTAACTAGCGCTATGCGAATCCGGTCGGTGAGCGGGAGATGGAGGCAACTGGAGCCTCGGGGTCGCCTTTGACCAGCTCTGCCTTTGATTCCCAGGTGGGCGCTCTGGCAGTTCACGGAGCCTACATGAAAATTTCAGCCTCTGGCAGAAAAGGGGCTCCGGGGAGGCTTCGGGGGGCGGAAACGGCCAGAAGGGAGGATGGCCGGCCCTCCTTTGTTTCGCCTGGAAGAGCAGGGGATTTAATCATTCCCCTGCCCTTGGCAGGCGGGGGAGGAGAACTGCGCAGCAGGGATCCAGTGAGATGTGCATGGCTCCTGGCTTTGCCGCTTTCTTCCTTCGGGCGGGAAGCCCCAAACCAGCCTCAAACCTCCGCTGCACCCCCTCCCTCCCTCCCCTTCCTTTTGTGCTATGCGTCTCCCAGTCAAGCCCCCAGAGAACATCTGTATAGGGAGGACAGAGGGGCCCCCCAAGTTTCTGCTGTGGTGTGGAAAGCTGCGAAGGCCTGGCCTGAAAAGGTAAGGGCGATGGCGGGGGATGCAGAAGAGGCTGGGCCAGAGACAGAGATAAACAGAGAGAGGGAGAGAGAGACAGAGAAATACAGAGAGACGGGGGGAGAGAGACACATACAGAGATACAGAGAGAGAGGGTGGGGGAGAGAGAGACAGAGGGGGGGAGAGAGATATATAGAGATACAGAGAGAGGGGGAGAGAGACACATAGAGAGATACAAATGGGGGAGAGAGAGAGAGACAAAGAGAGATACAAAGAGAGAAGGGAGACAGAGACGGAGGATTTTGTGGTTCCCATTGTTTTTTAGCAGCTGGTTCTCTGCCCTAATCACCAGATGGGTAGGCGTGGCTCGGGGGCTGTCATGTGACTGATGAAAGTGAGTGACGTCGAGTTGGCCACGCCCACCAAATGTTCGTGGAGAGTTTGGAACTTCAGCCTCGCTCTTTTAGCCCAGCGGAAGCACCAGACTGGGCCACAGCAACGCGTGGCCGGGTACAGCTAGTACTCAATAAAAATTATTTAAAAAAAAAAAGAAGTTGCCACAGTTTGTTGTGATCTATACAATCAAAGGCTTTAGCCTAGTCAATGAAGTAGATGTTTTTCTGAAACTTCCTTGCTTTCTCCATAAACTAGCGAAGGTTGGCAATTTGATCTCTAGTTCCTCTCCCTCTTTGAAACCCAGCTTTTTCTTCTGGTAGTTCTTGGTTCACATATAGCTGAAGCCTAGCTGGTAGGATTTTGAGTGTGACCTTGCTAGCATGTGGAATGAGAACAATTGTTCGGTAGTTGGAACATTCTTTGGCATTGCCCTTCTTTGGGATTGGATCATAAACTGACCTTTTCCAATCCTGTGGCCATTGTTAAGTTTTCCAAACTTGCTGGCATGCTAAATCCAGCAATTTAACAGCACCATATTTTAGGATTTTAAATAACTCAACTGGAATACTGTCACCTCTGCTAGCTTTGTTGGTGGTGATGCTTCTTAAGGCCCACTTGGCTTTGCACTCCAGGATGTCTGGCTCAAAGTCAGTAGTCACACCATCGTGATTATCAGGAACATTCAGATCTTTCTTGTATAGTTCTTCTACGTATTCATGTCACCTCTTCTTAAATCTCTTCTGCTTCTGTTAGATTAGAACTCCCAGAACTCCTGACAGTGTAAACAACTAACCAGTGGAACGGCTTGACTTCAAAGGTGTAGGTGTCCCATCAGTGGAGGCTTTTGAGAGGAGATTGGAGAGCCATTTGTCCAAAATAATATAGGTCCCTTCAACTCTGCTACTCTATTATCCTAGAAGACTAACATTTAAGGAAATTGATCTTCTAGAATAGACTAAAACATATGAAGAATGGGTGCAGGGTTTGGGTTTGGCTAGTCTAGAGAAAAGAAGGACTAGTGGGGAAATAATAGCAGCATTCCAGTATTTGAGAGGCTGCCACAAAGAGGAGGGGATCAATTTATTTTTCAAAGCACCTGAAGGCCAGACAAGAAGCAACGGATGGAAACTCATCAAGGAGAGAATCAACCTGGAATTAAGGAGAAACCTCCTAACAGTGAGGACAATTAAATAGTGGAACAACTTGCCTCCAGATGTTGTGGGTGCTTCATCATTGGGATTTTTTAAGAAGAGACTGAAAGTCACTTGTCTGAAATGGTAGAGGGTCTTCTGCTTGAGCAGGGGGCTGGACTAGAAGAC